ACACACACACACACACACACACACACACACACACACACACACACACACACACACACACACACACACACACACACACACACACACACACACACACACACACACACACACACACATACACACACACACACACACATGCATACGTACACATACATACATACATACATACATACATATTTCCAATAAAGCCAAGCCAATGAGCATTTCATGGCAGTTATAGCAGCGTGCAGAGAGGAAGAGCCTGATTGCTACTGCTGCCGGATGTGGGGGGCGGGGAGGGGGGAGGGGGGAGGTAGTCTTAAGGCTTCATATGGGCCTCTTTGCAGTGATCTTTTCTTCAGCGCTTGCGGAGTGGCTGTGAGAAGTCGATCTGTGATTTGATTATCATTTTGATTTGTTTTAAGAAACCGTGAGATAAAAAAAATCAAGAGTGAGTATTATGTTGTTGTTTTTTTTATTGTTATTCGTTATTGTTCTTTTTTTGCACACGTCAGCACACGCACTCGGACAGAACGAGTGGTGCCAAGTGTATCGCGTTTCAGGTTATCGTAGAAGCCGTAGGTGACAGAGGGCCGATTTCCATTCTCGTGTTTCCTCTACACCCTTTCCGCTCCCCCCCCCCTCTCTCTCTCCTTCCTCCTCGATCATACCCTTTCCTTCACTCTCTCGTTGTCCTCGCACCCTTGCCCCCCCTTCCTCCCCCTCCCACCCTCTTCTCCCCATATACCCCTTTCTCTCCCTTCCTCCCTCCCACCTCGCTCCCCACCCCACTTACCCTTTCTCTCCCTTCCTCCCCCTCCACCCTCCTCTCCCCACATACCCCTTTCTCTCCCTTCCTCCCCCCCTGCCCCTCCCACCCTCCTCTCCCCACATACCCTTTTCTTTCCCTTCCTCCCCCCTCCCCTTCCCCCTGTGCACCCTCTCCTATGCCTATCCCCTATGTGTTTGTGTTCCACCCCGCTTGGTTTTAATGCTCGTAGTGTAAACAACGTCAGTGTTTATTATGACTTTTGGTTTTGAATGGTTATTTATTTTGTGAAGAGTACGAGGAGGTCGTGTGTGTGTGTGTGTGTGTGTGTGTGTGGTGTGTGTGTGTGTGTGTGTGTGTGTGTGTGTGTGTGTGTGTGTGTGTGTGTGTGTGTGTGTGTGAGAGAGAGAGAGAGAGAGAGAGAGAGAGAGAGAGAGAGAGAGAGAGAGAGAGAGAGAGAGAGAGAGAGAGAGAGAGAGAGAGAGAGAGAGAGAGAGAGAGAGAGAGAGAGAGAGAGAGCATATAAAGATCAAGAGACAGACAGAAGTGGAGTCTGAAGAGGAAACTAGAGAGGAACATCCGCACGATGAAGCGCCCGGCCGTACCGCAGGTGAAGGAGCCCATCCTCTTTTTTCTTCCCGAATTCTCTCTGATCTCTGATTTTAAGATTCACGGTGACGCCTCAAGGTTATCCTCTCTGAGCATGCATGATAATTTTCTCCTTATCATAAAAGAGTCTCTTTGGAGCTTCCAGCGAATGCGTAATGAAATCTGAAGGCTTTGGACACACACGCAGCCACTCGGCCCTCCGCCAACGCATCTTACAAGCCACTTACACGGGAGAGGGAGAGGGAGAGAGAGAGAGAAACAGAGAGAGAGAGACAGACAGACAGACAGAGAGACTGTGACATCGGTCTTTTGTTTCAAAATCTGTGCACAATTTTTTTTATTCTTTAATATTGGTAACTTTCTTTGTATTAATAAATCAGTATTCAAGTACTCGCCCCCCCCCCCCCCACCACCACCACCACACGCTTTCTCGCTCACGGCTCTTCACTCTAATAAATGTTTAAGGCTTTGATGATGTTCCTTATTAGCATAGGTGCTCCCCCCCTCCATTCCCCCTCAACCCCCCTCCCCCCTAAATAATCACTTGCTCGCTAAGTTGGCTGTCAGGGAAGGGGAAGACAGGGGGTGGTGGGGGGGGGGATAAAGAGAAGAAGAGTGAAAGAAGAAAAAGGTGATAATTAAGCTGATGCTGGCGATTATGATAATGACGTTGAAAATGATGACGAAAAGAATGATGATACTAAAATGAACAATGATAATGATGGTAATGAAGCATCTCTAAAAGAGTAATGCTAATGATACTATGATTATTAGCATACTAATGAGAACATCAGCATAATGATAATCGTAGTGACAATGATGAAAAGCAAAGAGTGAAGAAAAGATAGGAAAAAATGGTAAAATGAATTCTAAAAGGAAAGATGATGAAAATATATGTCTATATTTTTCCTACTTTGAAGATGATTATATAACGGGAAAAGAACAGGAAGGGCAGAAAGAGAAGCAGTTCGCAGACACAAACGAAGGTGCATATTAGCCATAAATACATCGCAGTCAGCCTTCCAAGGAGGGTCGGTGCCCATGCCATATGGCGGAGGTGCTCGCTGTGGCAACGTCTTCACTCACCATAGTGGTCCTGTTGGGTTTTTTGGGGTGGAGGGGGGGGGGGAGAGGGGGCGGGGAAGGTGTTATGGTAGGAAGGAAGGGCAGGGGGAGAGTGGTGAGAAGGGGAGCAGGGGAGGGTGGCAAGGGGAGGGGAGAGAAAGATCGAAAGGTCAGGTCTAACAAAACTTGGTGAACGTCCTCTCGGCGTGAGCTCTCTTCTCCTTCCTTCTGTTGCATTCCTTCTTTCTTACCTTCTCACTGCTACTACTACTCGCCCCCTTTTCCCCCGCGCACCCCTCTCCTGCCGCGGAGAATTCAGGTGCCGGTAATCTTTGCGTTCTCTCTCGTATAAGGCGAGCAATGTCACCCCTCGTCCCTTTCGCCCTAATGGATGATCACTCCATTGATCCCGGATTTTGACCCCGAACTCAAAAAAAAAAAAAAAAATATGAGCAGAGTGGATATCCCGCGACTTGGGCTTACGTCGTGTTTGTATTCCCGGCGCCTCTTATTATTTTGGGTACGAGAAGCGTGATTGAAGCAGAGTGGAAAGGGTTAATGAGCCGGCGACCCAGCGGCCCCCTTCGCCTCGCCTCCTGTGCCCAAGCGATGCTCTCAAGCGGCTGGACATTATCACGGGGTCGCTTGGCCGAGCCTCGCCCATGCATCAGGCTGAGAGGGTCGGGGCGGGGGGGGGGGGGGGGGGGGGGGGACGGGGGCATGGGGGGCTCCTCCAGGATGAGCTCGTCGTTAAGGAGTGATTGGTATCGGTTCTCGAGAGGTATATGATGATGGCGGCGACCTCGGCGGCGGGGCGGAGGTGATGACGCCATCGCGGGCCGGCGGCCAAGGGGAATGCGTCCCGTGGGAAGATCTTTGGGCCGGGAGGAGCGTCGGGACGTGGGTCTGACGGACGAATGCGTCCCCGAGGAGGCCGGGATCGCCAGCGAGCACTTTCTCCGAGATTGATTCGCCGCCGAGACGAGGCGTTTAGGCTAAGCGCCGCGCCATCAATATTCACGGGCCCGCCAGGCATTCTCCAGTCATCATCGATCAAATATTAATAAACTTTCATTCCACTCCCCCGCGTGTGCCAGGTGACGTGCATCCGTCTTCGCCGCTCTCCCGGCTTGCTCTCCTCGACCGCAACGCTGGAGCGGCGACGACCAGTTTTCCCGCTCGACCCACGTGGCCGAGTCTTCCTCCGCCCAAAACCCTCCCCCCCCCTACCCCTCCCTCCCGCCTCCCCCCCCCCGCCTCCGCTATTGTATTGCAGATTATCTCGCCGTGGCAACAAGACGCGTTGGGATGATAGCATCGGAAAACATGTCGTGTGGGATTCCGCGTGAAGCCGGCCTCCGCGCCTTTGATTCCGCAACCTCGCTCTCATCACGAAGCTGTTTGTTATTGTTATTTCTTCTTATTTCTTTCTTCTC